GTGTGTGTGTGTGTGTGTGTGTGTGTGTGTGTGTGTGTGTGTGTGTGTGTGCGTGCGTGTGTGTGTGTGTGTGTGTGTGTGTGTGTGTGTGTGTGTGTGTGTGTGTGTGTGTGTGTGTGTGTGTGTGTGTGTGTGTGTAAACCTCTTGTAACTTTTGAACGACTCGACCGATTTCATCGCGGTTGGTGTCATTCGAAAGGGCTTCACTAAACTTAGATTTCCTGAAAATTTGAACCGATTCCGACCGGTAGATTTCGAGAAAATGCAAAAAAAGTGAAAAAAAAGTTGTTTTTTTTTATTTTTTTTAATATCTCCGAATTGGCTGAACCGATCGGTCTCAAAAACTAATCAGCTCTTAACCTTGAAAACCCCCATCGATCGCCACCAAAAACGTTAGAATCGGTTGATGCGTTCGTGAGATATCATTGTCGAAAAAAATCGAAAAAAGTGTTTTTTTGTAATAACTTAAAAATTCATGGCTCGATCGATTTAAACTTGAAAATTTTTTTTCATTTACGCCAACCGCGTGAAAATCGGTTCATTCATTCAAAAGTTATTGCCGTTTGAAAATTAAAAAAATTGTGTCTTTAAACTGCTATTAGAATTTTGAGCTCGAAGAGCTCAAATTGACACAAAAATAATTTTTTTGAGCTCGAAGAGCTCAAAAACGTAATGTGTAGTTTGAAGCGTATAAATACAAAATGAGCGGGAAGTTGCAGGGATGGCCTTTAGGGTGAACCGTTTTTCTAATTTTTTTTTTTTAAAGTACATTCATCAAGTTATCTTATTCTGAATTTTTCGAAAAAAAATCCAAATTTATAAAACGGTTACTAGTTTTAAGATCAAAAAATTTTAATGAGAGAATATTAAAAAAAATTATCAAAAATTTGATCTCAGTAATAAGCCGATTAATTAATCAATTTCATGGTCCAATCATTAATTTGTACCACCCCTAAATTTCGGTTACAACCACTAGAACAAATTTTATTCAATTTATCTTGTCAGAATCATAATAAATCTTTTTTTAAAATTTAAGACTATTATTTTTGAAAAAATATCCAAATTTAAAAACTGCTAAAATTTCGTAAAAATTTGTTTGATTGGGCCAATTTTTATATCAAGCCATATTTATGGATCATTCTATGTCAATTCAATTATGTTGTAATAGATACAAAAAAAAAAGTATCCATGTAAATTTTTAGCTCTTTATTTCAACATGTATTGAAGTTGGCGATTTTGGGAAGATATTTTCAAAATACTTTTAACTTTTACTATTTTGATGTATTTTTGGCAAAAATATTAAAAATTGAGAAATAAAATTGTTAGTATTTTTTATTGTTACCTTCAAACTCTTCGATTAAAAAAAAAAAAAAATTTATAAAATTTCACATCTAAAAATAAAATTTTTAAAATATTACCGAAGATGAGATTTAAATAATTTCGAACTCAAAAAAAATTTTTTTTTCTTGTGACTACAATCGTTGATTTCAAGGATGTCATAATAAATAATTTAACATATTTCTTGTGTAATTTATAATAAGCGCAAAGCATACTTGAATTGTAATTTTGACTTGAATTATGTATGCATATCAGAGCATATCGAAAATCATGAACATATCAATAAATTTTATCTCGGGGCTAGTATATTTCGTAAAATATTATCTTGAATAAACAATAAATATTATTCCAATAGATTAAAACAATGCATTTAATAAACGTATCACATGTTAGATATTTGTTTACTAATTTATTTACATTGTGCACAGCAATTTATGGATGGATTGGCTGTAATGAAACATTTTTTTTCCAACTAGACATTTAAATGCAGATTTATGGGTCTCGAGTCTCGATTTGTGTTGAATCACTAGATTTCTTTGTCGGCTTGCTTAACTTTCTAGCGGGTTTTGCAAAAACCATCTATTGGCATACCACCCAAATCAATGAAGTGATACGAAATAATCTGACAAATGTCGCTTTACATTACCTAATATGATTAGAAGATTATATGATTACTGATTATGATTTTATTACCATACAACAAAATCAAACAAAAAGTAAGTTGAATTAGTGCACTGTTGCAGGTGGATAGCAGAACAGTTATCTTTAATGCCACAGGCCGTATAAAAATGAAAAACATTAATGATATTTTAATGATGTGTAAGTTATATAAAGTACTATAGTATTAATCTCATATTTCTTTGATCACAACTAACAATTTTCTTCACTGGAAAAAAAGTTACCCGTTATATTATAACTTAAATGTTAACACGATAAAAATGATTGAGTCTTTAATAATTCATTGTTTACACGATTTGATTGATAGAAAAAGGTAATTACGATAATAACAAACCGGACACTTGGCTGACTGATATAATCGAGTTTAAAAACCTTCAAATAATTTTAACATGCCTGATGATGGACCGTTAATCTTCGTTATTAATTAACGAACTAGCACTATTATTTTAATTATTATATTTATAAAATACTTTCGTGGTTGCTAGCAGTGTTGGATGTATCCCCGATTTCTGGGTTATGAAGTCGATTTCACATACTGAAATCATCACTGATCGATGAATCCAGTTGTAAAGAAAGCGCACAATTTTCAGGTGACCGATTTTTCAGTGACCTCGGTGGAGAAACAATTAACTTCATTTCTGCTTGATTTTCAGTTTCAATTTCGATTATTTATTGGAGAGCGAAAGGTTCAGCTATTTTTTAACGTGTATTGGGAGAGAATTCGTTTAAGCAAAATGCAAGTTGTCTACATTGGAAAATAAAAAAAGAATACAAGAACAAAATCATTTTAAAGAGAACCAGTTGTTTTAACTAAAGAATTTTTCTTAGTAAAAATAATTTTCTTAGCTTGAAAAATTTTACATGATTAAAACACATATTCTCCAAGACTAACAATTTTATTTTTTTTTAAGAATTTCTATATTCAGGGTTCAAGAATAAGTTTCTTTGTTAAAAATACAAAATAAAATATTTTACTTGAACCTATTCTGAAAAATATTATAGATATATTTTTGATGAAATTGAAAATAACAAGAATTCGAGGATTGTTTGTAATATAAATTAAAGTTCAATCGCCGTGCGGTCAAGTGACTAGTAAATTTTTAATTCAAGTCAAACGGATGGACATTCCTTCTTTCGTATTGGTCGAGAGACATATTCTCTCTTTGCATACTTCG